TCGCCCACCTTGTCTGGGTTCTCATACAGGTGCTCAGGGCTGGACGACGGGGCGCAGGGCAAAGGGAGGGCGGCGTGGGCGTGGGTCTGCCTCGGGCCAGCAGTAGCAGGGGCAGGCAGAGGCTCTAGGTAGGACGGCACAGGCTTCTGGCGCCTCGTTGGTTCCCGCCTGAGGCTCCGGACGCGCTGGGGAAGACTCGGGTAAGTTATGGGTAACGAAATTTTCTTTAATAATAAAATAATAAGGATACTGATAATAACAATAATGATAATGTAGTAATAATAATGGTAATATTATGAATAATGATTATAACATTAATAATAATAAACAATAGTAATTATAATAATAATATCAAGAATAGTAATATCAATAATGATGATAATAACTATAAAAATCAAAGTAATAATAATAATGATAATAATGATATGAAGTTCTTGATAATAAAAGCATCTATCTCTGTAAAAGTATAATTTAGTCGTCATCATCATCATCATGAAGGAAATTATCATGTTTCTATTATTATTGTTATCATTAGCATTACTATCATTATCATCACTATTATTACCATCATTATTATTGTTACCATTAGCATTACTATCATTATTATCACTATTATTACCATCATTATTATTCTTATCATTATTATAATTCAATATTATCATTATTCTTATCATTATTATAATTCAACATTATCATTATTCTTATCATTAACATCATTATGATTTTCATTATTATCATCATATCTATACTACTATTTGCCATCTCTGTGATCATTATGACCATCACTATTATCATTATTATCATCATTTTATTATCTTCATAAACATTATTGTTAATATTGCTGCATTTATTATTTTCTATCTTTATTGTTGTTATTATCAGTATCATAATTGTTACTATTATCTTTATTATTACTATTGTTATCATTATTATTATCATTATCATTTTTGCTATCTTTATTATCATAATCATCATCATTATCATTATTATCATTATGATCATTATTATTGTCATCATCATTATCATTATTATCATTATTGTTATTGTCATCATCATTGTCATTGCTATTATCTTTAATGATATTATCATTATCTTGTTAATATTATTATTACTATTTTGATTATTAGTTTATTACTATTATTTCTATGTTTATTATCATTATTATCATTACTACTGGTATCATTATTACTATTCGTATTATCATTTATCATTATCATTACTATTATTGTCACCATCATCATGATCATCATCATCATCACCCTCACCATACCACAGTCATCATAATCATGATAATGATGATCATGTTGCAGCAGGAACGACGAAGGGAAGGGCAAGAAAACACACGAATATGCCGAAGGCCTTTTCACTAGCAATAGTGAAAAGGCCTTCGGCATATTCGTGTGTTTTCTTGCCCTTCCCTTCGTCGTTCCTGCTGCAATCTGTTCAACATGAATTCCACAAATGATGATCATCTCCATTATATGTATATACATACATATACTTACATATATACATGTATGTATATATGCATATATTTGCATTTATATGTATATATATGTATATATACATATATATGTATACATATAAACACACACACACACACACACAAACACACACACATGTGTATATATGTGTATATATATATATATATATATATATATATATATATATATATATATATATACATGTATGTATACACACACACACACACACACACACACACACACACACACACACACACACACACACACACACACACACACACACACACACCACACAAACACACACATATATATACAGAGAGAGAGAGAGAGAGAGAGAGAGAGAGAGAGAGAGAGAGAGAGAGATACATATAATATATATATATATATATATATATATATATATATATATATACATATACATATATATATATACATATATACATACTTACATATATATAAACACAGACACATATGTGCGTGCGTGTGTATATATGTATGCATATATATAGACAGATATAGATATATATTCATATACATACATACATATATAGATAGATAGATAGATAGATAGATAGATAGATAGATAGATAGATAGATAGATAGATAGATAGATACATGAGGGCGACAATCCAGAGTCGAATGAGAAGGGTTAAAAACTGAAAAAAACGTACCTTGTTGGTCCTTATGGATAGATAATAAATAATGAGAAGGACGAGAAAGGCGACAATCATAGTGGCCAAAGTGCCGGCGAGAGACCAAGTGATGACATCTGAAAATAAAATCGTGTAAGCCATTAAAAACATATGCGTATGTTAACCTGTGTGTTGTGTCCGTGTTTTGCGAATGTTTATGGATCTTTCTTTATATGCGCGTGTATGTATACAGGAACCTGCGAAAACGCTGTATATATCTTTAAATGTTCACCCACCTGGTTTCTGGCACAGGTCTCCCTTCTCTCGGGCGTTCGCATCGGGTTGCCTCGGGTCCTCAGTCTCATCGGCGCCGCGTCCAGACAC